GCTCTGAATTCAAACCCCAGTACTGCCAAAAGAAAAAAATGCCAATGTTTCACACTTCCTCCAAGGAAGAACTTAGCAGTCATGAAAGTGAAGGTATAAAACTCTCCAGAGAACCTTGCACCTGTGCAAGTCATAATTGCCACTTAATTCCAGAATGCACCATAGAGGGCAGTAATACACCTGTTGATAACCATTGCCTTACATTACCTAGCCCTGCCCTTTGCTGCTGCTGTTCTGCCCACTTAGTTCCAGCCATCCTGGCTGCCTTGTCAGTGTCTGGACCCACCAAGCACAATGCCTCCTCAGTGCCGCTATCACTGTTGCTCCATTTGCAATGTCTTGAAGGTAGACATCTTGTAATGGGTACATCCCACCCAGCTTTCAAATGTCTTGCATGATACTTGTGAGATGAAATATTTTTCATTCTAATTATTTTAATATATAACCTAGTTCTGTTTAAACACAGTATTTGAAAGATGGCTTAATAGACAAAAGTTTTTTTTTTCAGAAAAGCATTTTATTTTGTTTACCATAGCTTGAATCCTTCCAAGCACTCTTGAGTCTCCAGCCCAAGAAGATGATTAGTGAGGCCCGGTGACGGTGGTTCCTGCCTACAATCCTAGCTACTCAGGAGGCTGAGATCTGAGGCTCACGGTTCAAAACCAGCCCAGGCAAGGAAAATCTGTGAGACTCGTCTCTCCAGTTAACCACCAGAAAAGTGGAAGTGGCACTGTGGCTCAAATGGTAGAGCACTTGTGAGCTGAGGAGCTCAGGGGCAGTGCCCAGGCCCAGAGTTCAAGTCCCATTACTGACAAAAGAAAAAATGATTATTGATTAGATCAGATGATTTTGATTCAAGACTGTATGAAATATACTGAACATAGTACAGTTCAGCTCTGTTATCAAAGGATATGAGTGTGTGTGTGTGTGTGTGTGTGTGTGTGTGCTGGTAGAGTAGCTTAAACAGCCCTGCTACCAGATGGGTGTATGTGTGCTGATACAGTGTCTTAAACTCAGGACCTTGTATTCAGTTTGCTTGCTTAGCTGGTGGACTACACTTGAACCATACCTCCAGCTCAGCCTTTTTGCTGGTTATTTTGGAGATGGAGTCCCATGAATGTTTATGCCTAGGCCGGCTTCCAACCTGATGCTCTGATCTGAGATTATGAGTAGCTAGGATTTACAGGAGTGAGCCACTGGTACCCAGTTCATTTGTTTACTTTTTAATTATTTATATTTTTATACTGTTGGGGTTCAAATCCAGGGTCTTGTACATGCCAAGCAAATGTTCTACACTGAATGATAAACCCAGCAATCTAGATTGCTAGCACTCACTTGTAAGCTAAGCCTTCTTATTTAATTCTTGTCTCTTAACCATTTGTGAATTTTCTTCTCCTGTGTGAGCACTCACTTTAGTTGTTTTTTTTTTCCTCTGCATCTTCTACCCTGATCTGAAGGTGCTTTGTTACTTTTTTTTGTCTTTTCATTTTTGAGAGGTTAATATTTTGTTTCTTCTTGGTGGTACTAGGGTTTAGACACAGGACCTTGAGCATGCTAGGTAGGCGTTTACCATTGTAGCTACACTGGCTCCACTTTTCTTTTTTTGTTTTTTTGAAACAAGGTTTCACTATGTAACTCATGCTGGCTTGGGAATTCTTGCCTCGGTCTCCCAAGTGCTGGGATCACAGGCATGTGCCGCTATGCTCAGCTCCTGGAGGCTCCCTTAGGTGTGCAGAGACATGTCCCTTGCAGAGCAGCTTTATAAGATTGCCCTGGGCCCAGAACTTTACAGGCTGGCAAGACAGGACCGTGTCCCTACCTCCTTTCATGAGCAAACTAAGGCTCACTAGCCATCTGCTGGGATTGCTCTGAAGTTCTGTACAGCTGCTGGCTTTTTGGAAATTTCACTCCCCACTGTCCATATTTCCTGCAAAAATTAGTTGGGCTGAAGCCGGGGGGGGCAGCATTTATGAGCCATGAAGTTTCCACTAATAAATCCATGGATGCTTCTAGCATCTGCCTTTCCATCTCTGCCCCAGTACCAGCCACCTGGCCAGCTGGGGAGTCAATATTTACAACAGCAACCAGAGATCCAGGGCCAGGACTACAGTCAGTCTCCCAGAGTGTGTACAAGGGTGACAGATCCTTGGAAACACATGGGGCCTGACACAGATATGGCCATGGGGCCACAGCTGGTCTTAGTCTTAATATATTTGGCCAGACTTAGTCCTGTACATAAACCAGAGCCTTGTTAGGTAGAAGTAACAGAAACCAAACTCTTAACAGACATAGGGAAAATCTGATTTCCTAGGACTGCTGTAACAAATTACCCCTGGCCTTGATGACTTAATAGAAGTCTATCCAAAGTTTATCCAAAAATAGGAGTATTTTTGGATGCCCAGTCTGAATGGAGGTGCTGGCAGTGCCACATTCCTTCTGAAGGCCCTGAAAGAACTCAGGCCTTGTCTCCTCCATATTCTAGTGGCTCCCGGTATCTCTTGGCTTGTGGCTGCATCATTCCACTCTCTGCCTATCCTTACACAGCCTTTTCTAAAGTAGGCCCTTGTGACATACACTCACATGTCTCCTTAAAGAACAATGCTGGTCGTGTATGTAATCCTAGCTACTCAGGAGTCTGCAATCTGAGGATCATAGTTCAAAGCCAGCCCAGGCAAGGAAAGTCCATGAGACTCTTATCTCCAATTAACCACCAGAAAACCAGAAGTGGCGCTGTGGCTCAAATGGCAGAGTGTTTGCCTTGAACTGAAGAGCTCAGGGACAGCGCCCAGGTCCAGAGTTCAAGCCCCACAACCAACAGAAAAAAAAAAAAAGATATCTGGGAAGGGAAGTCCATGAGACTCATATCTCCATTAACCAGCAAAAAGCCACAAGTGGAGCTGTGATTCAACTGGGAGAGCTCAGTATTGAGTGCAAAAACTAAGGGGCAGCACCCCTCCACCCACCTCACCCTACACACACAAAATTAATGTAGAGAGATCAGACAGACGCACAGACCAGACAGGTTCTCATTATTTTCAAATACCTTCTCACTTCATCGTCCCAATCTTTTGGAAAATGTCTGCCTGTTTTTCTGTTCAGAAATTCTACTTTCACTCTGTTAAGATGTCTACATTTCACTCTGATTATGAGTTAAAATGGAGCCAAGTTTAACACATTCACCTAAGGAAGTCACTTAGCAGGCACAATCCTGTGCTTGGGTCACCATGTAGCTGTAGTGAGCAGGGCAGAATGGTACTATCACTACCTCTCCCCCACCCTCCCCATCTTGCCCCAGAGCACACACAGGTGTCCACTCCCATGCAGGTGCAGATGGCAGAGAGGATTCTCTCTCATCAATTGAGAAGAGATTGAACTCAGCCTCTGTCCAATGGCTCTTCCCATTCCAGGTGACCCTGTGGTATGATACCACTCCCCCAGGCCTACCAGTGTCCTGCCTAGGACAGCCCATGAGCTGGGAAAGAGCAGTCTTTATTAAGTTTACTAATTAAAAGGAGAGGTCCTTCACATAGAACACTGGTGACTTCCTACTCACCTCTCAGCAAGGGTCTGCCTGGCTACTGAGAGAAACTGCTGGAAAGACCAGCAGGAGCAACATCATTTGGACCCCTGGAGACAGCTGTGCCTGAAGCCCAAGTTGCTCCGGTGCTTTCTTAAGCCAGTTTGATGTGTTTTGTTATTATCAAGAGAGAACTGACTGGTTGGGAACTGGCTGACAGTGTGAACAAATGATATTTGTGGGTTTGGTGTGAGGTGCAATGGTCATGGACAATCGAAGGCCTGAGTTTTGGTGTGGTTTGTGCCTAACCCTCGTGTCTTAGATCAGGATTCTCACACCATGGTTCACTGGAGAGCTAGCTCTCAGGAAACTGAAAGGCCATAGGGAGGCAGGATGGAGCAAGGGCTGAGCTATGAGGTGATCTCAGTCAGAGTGCTACTGGCTTTGGGGCTTGAATGGAAAATGTAATTGTGATTCCTTGAAGCAGCCAGACCAGGCTCTTGTGTCCCTGCCTTGGTCAGTCCTGGCCACCATAACCTCAGGAGCAGAGAATAAGCTAATATGCATTTCTGGCCAATGACTCTAGGAAAAGGGCAGCTAAGCTGGTTTAGTAGCACCAGATTGCAGCTATGATTCAGTTGTACTGGCCCAGGGCCTCTCTGAGCAGAGCGCCAACAGTCTCCACCACAGCACACTTCACAGCTCCTGCCTCGCCTCAAATTGACCTGGGAAGTGGCAGCCCTGTTGGTAAGGATGACAAAAGTCTCCAAGCTTTCCAAGCAAAGGCTGCCTCCACAAACCCCTTTGCAGACCATTTTTTAAATTTTGTTACTTAATTAGTGGGGCTGGAAGAAGGTGGAACCTAGGGTCTTACATATGCTAAGCAAGCCTTCTACCATAGGCTGCACACTTAATCCCAGAACTGCAATTAAATATTGCCTATAAGCTGGGCACTGGTGACTCACACCTGTAATGCTAGCTACTCAGGAGGCTGAGATCTGAGAATTGTGGTTCAAAGCCAGTCTGGGCAGGAAAATTCGTGAGACTCTTATCTCCAATTAATCACAGAAAAAAAAAAACAGAAGTGGTGCTGTGGCTCAAGTGGTAAAGTGCTTGAGCTCAAAGACAGTGCTCAGGCCGAGTTCAAGTCCCAGGACCGGAGATATATATAGTCATTCATTCATTCACTGGGTCATAGACACTACCTAGTGTGTCTGCTGGCCACCTCTGGCTGCAAAGGAGGCTGTGAAATGTAGTTTCCTCATCTGAGAACTAACAGAGAAGGAAAGAAGGGACAAAAAGCAAAGAAAATCCCTGCCACTAGGACTTAAGAGCTAATTCAATTCTACAGCTATGAGACAAGAACTGGAAAGCTGCTAGGCTACCCAAAGCCATATAGGCCAGCACAAACCACACTGGTCTCCAGACTCTCAGGCCAATGACAACAGGAAAGCAAAGTCAGTATCAGTGCATGTAGGTTTATTTGGTACAGTGTGCCAACGCTAATGCTAAGGGTAAACCTCTGGGAAGATGACTTTAGCCAGTGTATTCCTGGGGGCATGGCAGGGATGGGAACCACATTCACTCCAGCTGGTGCCCATCAATGTGGAGTATCACAATGGAAAGTCCTGGGACACAGGTGGATTGAATTACTGGTAATGTCTAACTGGGAGGCTGCCATGCAAGGCTGCAGTGCTAGAGCGAGTCTTGCCTATGGGTCTGTCCAGATGCACTCAGTGAGTTTTTGGCTGGGAGATTTTGACCTCTAGATCTCAAGTTCTGTGATTAATCCAACCAAGATGCCCATGAATAGGGGAACCAGAAGCTTTGCAATCAGGCCCTCCAACTTACACTCCAGGGAACAGGCACACCAATGTCCACACCCACAAAGAATGGCAGCAAGGTCAAGCCAGACCCTTTGCAGTGGGCAATAGGCCAGAGATGTGATCCAGCAAACTATGCAAGGTGGGTAGTCAGACGTGTTGTCCCAGGTCTGTGGTCCTAGTCAAAGCAGGGGCTTGAGAGCCAGGACAGAGAGAATGGCCAGCAAGGAGCTCCCTTCCAGGGACTGGTCAGCAGAGGAGATCTGAGGGGTGGAAGCAGAGAGAAGACTCAAAGCAAGAATGTGTGCTGTCCTCTGCTGCACTCCTTCCCAGGGGACTCATGCCTGCAGGAACTTCTAGCTCACCCACCCCATCCCAGTATCTTACCTGTAGGAGGCTGTGCCCAGGATCCTGGTGGGAGTCCAGCTGCTCCTGCAGGATTGAGGGCCACCCGCTGTCAAAGGCTTGCATGGCACCATCTACAGAAGGATGAGTCCACAGAGGGCTTGGCTGGGAAATCCTAGCCTAGAATCCCCAGTTCCTTGGGGACAAATTGAGAGACTCCCTCCCTACCTGCAAGGAAGAACTTCTGGGATGGGAGGTATGTGTGGAGCAATGTCAAACAAGGACAATTGGGGTAAGAGCAACTCAAAACCTGAATAGGGAAGTGGCACTGTGGCTCAAGTGGTAGCACACTATCCTAGAGCTGAAGAGCTGAGAGACAGCGCCCAGGCCCAGAGTTCAAGCCCCATGATGGACAACAACAACAACAAAAACAAGTGAATAGTCCTCCATCCTCATAGGGCAGGGTGAAAATTATCACCCCATTTTACAGTTGAGCACAGAAAAGGTTTCTAGTGTATGCTCAGCTAGTAAGTGGCAGATCACAACTTCAACAGAAGCCCTCTAAATCCAGACCGCTAGCTATTCCAATCTCAAAAGGCAAGACCAGGATCACCTGTGGGAGGGAGGTTTGGGGGGAGATGGGGAAGGGACCTGCTCACAAGTGTGGGAAACACCAGCTTGACTGTCCCACCCTGTTGTCTTAACGGTTATTGCCCTTTCTGGGTGCTCGTTGCTACCGTTTTAAGAGTTCTAGCTACTCAGGAAGCTGAGATCCTGATGACCCCACGGTTCGAAGCCAGCCAGGGTGGAAAAGTTCAGAGACGAAGTAATTGATTAACTAGAAAAAGTGGGACTTAGAGGCGTGGCTCAAGTGCTAGAACACCAACTCCAAAAGCTTAGTTCAAAACCCCAGTACAGAAGGGGGAGTACTTGCCTTAATACCTGTAAGATTCTCCTTAGGGTCTATGACCTGATCTGGAGCAGTTTCCCCCAGAGACGAGATGACTGCAGAGGGCGAGAGCTTCGAGGCTTCATCAAAGAACCCGATTTCCTCCCCCTCTAAAATGGGCTCCTCGTTTGCTAGAGGGCCTGGAAGTGGCTCCCGTCTCTCTCCTACTGGGGTCCCTCACCCAAGCAGCGGTTCCTTGTAAAGAGCCCCTGGAAACTTTCGCACTCTTCGCGCCTGTTCCCACTGACTCCACAGTCGCACCAGGGGGCCACGCGCGCGCTCGCGTTGTCCACGTAGTTTGGGGTGACGGCGGTGCCTGCAGGAAGGGACCCCGGTGGTGGGGTGATCAGCCCAAGCTGGCAGAAGCAGCTCCTGGAGACCCTCCCCTCCCCGCCCCCGTCCGCCCTCAGCGGTGCGTACCCATGAGGCCTGCGTAGGCGCGCAGACAGCGGGGACCCTGGCCTCGCAGGCAGACATCTGGAGCTGGGGCGCAGGAGGCTTGGAAGGCCAGGAGGCGAGGTCTGCACCAGGGACCCGAGAGGGTGAGCAGTGACCCAGCCCCGCCCCCGGGA